CACTTCTACATTTCTAAATCTATTTTCTAAATACATATTAGTGATCTTGAACAGTGCATTCATGCATTTTTCATTTCATTTTTACTTTTTTTTTGAGCTTGCAGTTTTTAATTACAATATCATAACTCCGTCTTCAGGTGAAATGACAGACTTTTCTCTGGCGATGCATGTCAAACTTCTCCAATCATTTAGTCCAATCAACAAATAGATAGAAGCAAGTCCCGCCCCCGAAGTTTTTTTTTCTTTCGAAAATCCGTTTTATTCAGATGTACGTCACAATATAGAAGAAAAGATCTGTTGGAATTAGGGATGAGCAAAACTAAACATTTTCTAAAACATCTAGTTAGTGGGTTGTAGGGCTGAACGATTTTGGAAAATAATCTAATTACGATTTTTTTTTACCAATATTGCGATTGAGATTTAATATGCAATTTTTTTTTAAAGCTCTTTATGTTCTGTATTATTCAACAAAGACAAGCTATAAATCATTGTATAGTATGACCAACACAATATTAGATAGATTAAACATAAATGTTCTTTTCTGTAGGCCAGGCCTATATGTTACGATGAAATTAGGTGATGCATGAATTGATATGAATGACATTTTTATTTAACAACTACAATCACAGTACATTGACTGATTTGTTGAACTTCCAACCTTGTAAGCATGTAATAATTATGACAACATAAAGCACTGACAAATAAGCCTGGTGTAAACATTAATATGAAAGTCAGTAAACAATCACACAAACTAAAGTATATTGCAGAAATATAAAAACAAATCTGTTGCTTTACCACACTACTTTAGCTAATTCAACAGTCACTGTAACAAACATATGTAACCATGTGCACTGCACTTTTTAAACACTGTCTGTTAACTTTTAGTGGTTCTCAAACTTTTTTGGTTGCGCCCCACTCAGACTACCAAATAATTTCACTAAACATTATGAAAAATTAATGTTTTTTAATTTAAAAAACCTACAGGGAAAAAAACACCTGCATCACTTGAAACATTGAAAAATAGCATAGAGAGAATAACTGATTATTATTATTATTCTCTCTCTGTTATTTTTTATTTTTTTTGTGGGTTTCATGCTGTCCGCTAAGGCATAGGACACACACAGGCTTTCCTCCTCACCAACGACATTAAACACCGTGTCTACACCGGACGTGAGCGGCAAAATACAGTAGAGACCATTATAATCAGTGACGCACGCTACACTGGATGCAGCGCGGCGCGACAAAACCCGACATTAAACTGATGCCTTGTTCTATTTATGACGTACTGACACAAAGTTAAAATGATTTGCAACGGTCGCAGCACTGCTTAGGCCGATGGGTGTGTGTCATGAAGGTACTGAGAGAGCTATAAGAGAGCGCGGACGTCTGCTTATGCTTTCTCTCGCCTTACTTTGATGTCATACACCGATCTGATCTTCAAGTCGAACACACCTCTTTACTCTCGCGTGTCACGTGACCGAGTGTAATCGCAGCCTCTGCGATTGAAAAATCAAAATTTTTCATATCGCGATATTATCGCAAATGCAATTAATCGTTCAGCCCTAGTGGGTTGTCTAAATGACTAGATGACTAAGTCTCAGGCATTCTGTATAGTTAGATTGAAGGTCATTGCTCAAAACTTGTATAAAAGTCTTAGTCCTCACAAAAAAGTGGAAGACCTATGGAATCAGATGCATAAATGTATCGATGAAGACAGCAAATTTGTTACAAAAGGGGTGTTTTAGCATGCTGACATAAATTTTTTTTAAACAAACTGGGTGTTGTCATAAGTATTTTGATGTTGGACAATTAATCGACCATCCATACCCATTATCACGATACCAGATATTGCAGGAAAACAGACCTTACCATGCTGACTGACACTTTTCCTAGTCTTAAATTTAACTTTAGTAATTTTGTTACGTGCTTTTGTCATTTAGTTTTTGTTAGGATTATATATATAAAAAAAAGTCTGTCAGTTTTCAGAGTATTTCAATAGAAGTACCACTTCTATGCTGTTCTGGAACCTTGCTTTTGATCATAAACTCTGACAGAGAATCCATTAAACCAATTTCATATGAACTCTATGAACTCATAAGGTCCCTGGCACCATCCTGACACACTGGGCTGAGACTGATGACATGGTACAGCAGTGGATTGATTCACAACATCGATGATGACCACTGTGACAACCATGTAAAGTAACTGCAACAACAACGCATGATCGATCATGCCCTACCGGTGCCCAATATTGCTGAGTAAGCATGCTGGTAAAACAGGCTGTGTATTTAGGTGTGTGTTTTTGGGTTTGTTCACAGAACTAGACTCAACGCACCTACTCATAGCTGTTGACAACTGAAATGAATGAATAAGAGAAAATGAGAGAGACACTGGTTTGGTCCAGCTGACTCATATCCTGACATGTACTGTGTCCTGGAAAGGCCTTTTCGATGGGCTCAATAGACAGGCCATGCTTGCATTTTCTTTTTTTTTGGTGGCGGGTAACAAAAGGCAAAGGCAAAATAGCAGCAAACAGCACTTTTACACAGCCATTGCTTTTCATTTGCACACAAACACACAACAGAGGGGAGAGGTGGCCCGCTGTATGACAACAGATAATATGCTAAACTGACTTTTAAAAACAAAACGTTGACTGGAATGGACATTTCTGACCTCTACTGAGACTCCCTACATACTCTTTTCACTTACCTCCAGGAGAAAAACCTACGGGTGTACTGCTATTGCCCAAGTGTTGCTTAACCATCTAACACAGGTCAAGGCAGTGAGGGGCCCAGCTCTAAAAACACACAAACACTGATACAGCTCTGGAAAACTCATAGTAGGGAAGTGTGACCAAACTACGCAATGTGGCGGAGCTCCACATTCAACACACCGCTGGGTTAACTAACAACATGACACAACAACAGAACTTCACACAGTAAATTCTAAAACAAATTGTGGGCATTTAAAGGCATAGGTCACCCCAAAATAGTGCTGGGCGGTTCATACCGAATACCGGTGTTTATTTTTGTTATGATATAAATTTTTAAAATACCGCAATACGTATGTCGCTTAAACAACGTTCGGAACGCGACACTGTTTGAAAGGGGTCCCTTTTCACTGTTGCACTGTGGTGAGGGAACAGCTGTATGTGTTACTAAGCGTGAAAGTTCCGAAACTGAAGCTGTAGAACTAATAGAACATGATGACACAGAAGAACTCATCCACAATATCCACATTGACCGCCACAAATATCCACCGCCCCCTGCCATCAGCTCCCGCGTCTCACACACACACGACAATATTTACTCATCATGACAGTAAAATAGGGCATTCTAAGTCAATATACTGCAGTATTTCCTCTCTCAATCAGTAGAAAATATGGTTAACACCCGGTCAAGCATGAGAAAAAAATACCGTCATGTACCGTGAAACCGGTATCATTTTGAAAAATACCGTGATATAAATTTTTGGTCATACCGCCCAGCACTACCCCAAAATTAAACTTCTGTCATCATTTACTCACTCTAAGACCTGTGCAAGAATGTCACTACATTACTCAATTTCTCAACATCTCTCACAAATAAACCAACTTGTTACCTAACTAGTAACCAACTGACTTGGACTCTCTTTAATAGTCTTTACTACTACTTTACTAATAATTTTGTGAGAATTTTAATATATCACCTATCTACAAATTAAAGGTCACTTTACCAGTTGTAAGCACATATAAATAACAATAACAAGGTATAAAGGAGAACTATTTTTAGACAGTTTCAATTAAAAGTCTCTGTCATTTGCTTTGAACAAAAAATTTCAAAAAAAGAAAAGTAGGCATTTAGAAAATGAAAAAGACTTGCAGAAAAAAAAAGTTTAGTGGTTCTATTTTTAGGAAAATTTGACTTTCTGAAAGAAAAATGTACAAGATACAAGAGACTTCACTTGAACTATGTTCAAGACTTAAACATGAACATGTTCATAAAGTATATCTACAGAACTGACATTAATGCTAAAGTTCAAGTAAACAGATCGACTCTGGCTTATGGTCAGGTGCATCAAAACACTGACATCATCATAATAAAATGTGACATTTCAAAGTTGGTAAGCATGCTGGACACCAATCATTTACTCTGGCTAACATGATAAACTTGACATTAGCCCTCTGGTGTCTGAGGTCTGAGTCATTGTTTTGGGCCCTGGAGATGCGTTGACATGTATGTAACAGTTTTAAAACGTCTATAACAGTATTAAAATGTAAATAACAATTAAAATAAATATTGATATTTTTATGTAGAAGTGATGCCAACCAATCATTGAGGTTCATATGAAATGCACTTGACATATAGTTAATACAAATGTTGTTAAACAGCTCAGAGCACAGGGTCCAATATTTACATTTACTCAAAGGCGGGTAATTGAGAAAACCGAGAATAAATGGTGGACAGACTTTCAAAAAACCATTATGACCCATTATGGTTATGTTTATCATTCATTATATGTTTAGGTGACTTACCGCAAGAAATATCCACATATAATCAGCCATATGGAATTCTGGAGACAACAAGCCCTTTAGGCATACTAAATCGACGAATGATAAATTATGTAAACATAAAAACATAGATGTATTATGTCGCAGTTCCTAATAAAGTTACCAGCCTCAACATATTATTTGTTTGTACCACAAACGATATAACGCACACCCCGTATTTTCACGGCACAACATTAATCCTCGTCACAGCCATAACACACACCACAGCCTTTTCATGTGATCAAAACACAGCACTTGCGCGCGACGTTAGCGTTAGCAGCTCAGCTTTGTCCATGCCCACGAGAGAGGCAAAACCGATTAAAAGCCCGTTTACCTGTATATAACAAGCGCTGGCGCGGCGTCTCTGTGATTTCGGTTCGTATTTTGCTCTCCCTCTGTATTGTTACATCGCATGCATCGCTTAACTGCTATTTTCTGCAACGACTGATGTGGATAACGGTGCGCGAGGCAGGTTCAGTTGTTTGTAAATCTCGGAACGATGCGCTCAGCGTGCGCGTTTCCTTGACAGCGTCGAATCTTCTGCTTGAGCGCGACAAACGCTGCCCTGCGCGCATGCGCAGACCGCATCCTTGACCACCTCCCACCGAAATAAGCACAGACAGGAGCAGAAGAGGAAAAAATAATCAGCATTTTACCTCAGAAATCTCCACAAGAAAGTCAGTGAAGACGGTCCAGTAAGGTTGTATTGCGTAGTTTCAGGAAGCGCTGTCGTCTGATTAATGCAAGTGTTACAGCAAATGTACACACAAAAACGTGAAGTAAAGACAAGTGCATGTTTCTAAACAGAAATTTCCCTACTGCGCAAATGCTAGGAATAGATTGCCTAAATTCAAGTTTTGAAAATTAGAGCTCATATTATGCATGATTTGCTTCCTATTCTGTGCATTCGTATTTCACCTGTAGATGGCAGCATCCTTGATGGTGATAGACCTACATAAAACACATTAAAAATGCACTATGCACTTTTAAAAATGTACAATTTTAACAGTAATGTAAAATTCTTAAGTAAAAACATGTTACTTACATTACTTACCTTACCATATACGTTGAATATATATTTGTATTCTACAAGACAATACATAGGCCTATAAATGTTCTATTAAAAATGTTAAATGTTTTTACAAGTAAAAATGCTACACTTAATATTTATATATAAATTAATAAATGAACACATCTGCTGCAAGTACTGTTTTTTTATTAACTTTAACTCATCATGTGGCCTGTTTTATTATCTGCAGTTTACAGCACCATTTAAAAAAAAAATATTTTATTAATTTATTTTTTTGTTTTTTAACGAATGATAAATTAACATGATATTATTAGCTGGCATATTAATTTCATGCTAACTCATAGTACGTAAAATTGTGTTTTTTATTCATTATTGTTTTCAAGTCTGAAAATACCTGAACAGATGGCAAAATAGATGTAATTTCCACAGAACCATTTTAAATAAATGATTGTGTTTAACAGGTGGCATTAAGAAATTTTGTCTGAAAAAATGTTTTAATGAAGAAAAGTTAAAAATACAATGTCAAGATTTCCCACACACTGACAAATTTGGTGCTGTCCAGGGTCCTGGAATCAATTTGATACCATTGCAGGCAGTGTTGGGGGAAATATATTACAAGTAACGCAAGTTACGTAATCGGATTACTTTTTTCAAGTAACTAGTAAAGTAACGCATTACTTTCCATAAAAAGTAACTAAGTAACGCAATTAGTTACTTTTTTTATGGAGTAATGCAATATTGTAATGCATTACTTTTAAAAGTAACTTTCCCCAACACTGATTGCAGGTAGATGTACCCAAACTCTTCAGGACACGCTTCACTTTATAAAACTTTACAAACACAGTGAGGTGTACTGCAGAATGATAATTGTCTTTTATTAAATAAATAGCAGCTTCACAAAATTATACCATTGTGAGGATGATGGTTTGTTTGTTTGTTTGTTTTTTTAACAAAAAAGGGATTTGGTAAAACATTCACAGGCTATGGTATAAAAATGAGAGTTTGAACAAGGGAAGGTGATACAGGAGAAATTCTAGAGTCTACACAGAAAACAGCAAGAATTTACAGCTTTATACATCATAGGTTCCTAGACATCCTCAAATTAACATTTTTGGTCTTACAGACCAACATTTGTTGCCATGGACAGTTCGTCCATATAAAGTAAATGGTTTTAGTACTCTTGTCTGTTGTGCAATTTTGCTTCTTCTCTCACTCTGTCATGACCATCTGATTCCCAACCTTACATTCACAGGAGAGCATGTTCCCCAGAGCTACACTGTAAAAAAAATTCCGTAAATTCCGCTGTGGTTGCCGGAATTTTACCATAAAAAATACGGTAGCAACGTTTTAGGTTTTACGGTTTTAACTTAAATTTACAGTTAAATACCGTAATTTCATTAATTGATATAATGTTAATATACCAACCTATTGAAGTACTGAAATCTGTTTTGTACCTTTGTAATACACTGATAACCACCAAATGCAGGTCGTGTTGAGAAAGTCACACGATGAACCAAAGCCTATCACAAGCAGCTTTTAAATAATAAAATATATAGAAGGTGCACAGTGTCATTCACACAAACACCAAACACCATAATGGTAACACATGAATCTGAAATAATGCAATAAACATTCATTTAACAACATTAGGTGTAACACACAACCCTAATATACAAAACTGATAATAAAAAACTAAGAATAAACAGTTATTTCAACAAAAAAACATCAAATTTGAAATGTAACGCAGGGAATTCTGGGAATGTCAATTTACGGTTATTCACTGTAAATTATACGGTATTTTTCACTTCCAAAAACGGTATACTACCGTAAAATTTATGTCCAATACATGTAATGTCCAATACAGTTTTTCACCGTATATAGTAGGGGAATTTACCGTTAACCATTTAACAGGCTTTTACTGTAGCAGTTTTACAGTCTTTTTCCGTTAAATTCACGGTCATTTTTTACAGTGTAGAGGTTATTTCCTTCAATACCTGTTGAAAAAAAAAATCCTTGAGAAGCAGTTTGGACTTGACCAAAACTCATACCGCATTTGTTATGTCTTAGCATAAGTTAATTGTTAAGTATGACCTTCACACCATTGTTCTGTTTGGTCCAGTTTTCTAGGTCACTGTAAGAAGTGGTTTGAAGAAAACTGTTGTTCTGCAGTCATTTCCTCCAGCAAATAAGATGCAACCTCTAACTGTGTTACTGGATTACTGCAACTCAAAGGATTCATCATATCATATTGGAGATGTTTACAGGTTACACAAACAATGATCTGACTTGCAAGTGTATTTAGCAGCATAGCTTCGTCCATATTGTAATGCAACTAGCTTGGATGACACAGTAACTCTTTTTTTGGCTTTACATTTTTTTTTGGTAATTATTCAACTGACCACAAGAGGATGCTATGACTCTATCTGTCGAATATTTGCGTGAACTGCAGTCTCCTATGCTGCTTTAGTAAGAGACTGGGTGCTCATGCAGGACTTAATGGCATTCAAAAATCTGAACCTGTTAACACAAACACACAATCACACACATTACATTCCCTCTCCCTTTTCTGACCTTGGTCAGATTATTGTTTCTGTAGCTAACTCAGCATACATTCTATGCTGTGATACAGCTGAGGTTGCGTAGACAGTCGACATCTCCTAAACATCACGTGTAGCTCGGTCCTGTCTTCCATGTCACACTAAAAGCTAGTTTTCAGACACTGCTGGTGTGTTCTGTGTGGCTGTGACCGCTGCTGATAGACAGCTCTGATATTCCCGGTTTCAGCTCCAGTCCGGGGTCAATGTCCATGTCGTGGGGCTCCAGATTTCGGATTCCATTGCCGTCCCCATTGCGGCAGTTACTGTTCCGGTCAATGGAAACTTTTTCGCAGATCAGGATGGGTGTGACTACCGCATGGGATGGACAAGGAGCGTTTAAAGCGATGGGTTTAAGACCCACCCGACTATACTGGCAGTGCATGTAACTTGAAAATGCCCTTCGGTAGGTCTTGTTAAACAAAGTGTACACTAAAGGATTGACCCCTGATGAGATGTAGCCCACCCAAACGAAAACATTGAGCAGTTCTGTTAGCACAGGCTCATTACAGGCTTTATGGCAGAGGACATACAGAACGTTAGTGATGAAAAAGGGACACCACATGATGAGGAAGAGGAAGAACACTACACCCAACACTTTGGATGCTCGCCGCTCGTTCTTGATGGCCTGCATCATGCCTCGCCGCCCATGGGTTCCGGCTGGGTCCCGTCCAGCGGGCGAATTCATTTGAGATGGGGCTTCTGAATTTGGGATTATTGAGATGGTGTCTGGGGGCACGGTCAGTCCGAGCATGTTTCCATCGCTGTTGCTGATCTGTAGACAGTTCAGGCTGCTGCGACGGGATGCCGGCGGTGGGGCCAACTGGGAAGTAGGTGGAACTGGAGGTTGCAAAGGCTGTTGAGAAGAGGCTTTGCCCTCGTGGAGGAAGACTGTGGCCTGACGCTGAAGCGCTTGGACGGTGAGACAATACGTGACCACCATGATGACCAGAGGAATGAAGAAGGCAACAAAAGAGCCAACCAGTATGAAGTGTTCCTCATTCAGAGCACAGTTGCCGTTTTTCAAGACCTTTTCTCTGTTATGGAGTCCGATCACTGGGATAGGCATTGAGATACCTGTGGTTGGAAGAAGTAAGAGAATATCAAACAAATATATATAAACAAACATCAAAGAAACAGTCAGACTAGCAAATGAGAAAGGCAACTAGAACGCAAGATGCTGGAGACAAAAGACCAACGGCTTCAGCGAATCGTGCTCAGAGATCTATCCTCAAGACAAATCCTCTCTCTTATCCAGCTAGATCGGTATTCCTGATGGTTGAGAGAGAGGATCTTTTATTTAATTAGAGCAGATGAATGAGAGTGTCAAGGCAGATAGAGCCTTAATGCTGCTTTGAATCCAGATAAGAATCAAATAAACATTAGGCTCACGTTTAAACGGGAGAGAGGTTAGATGTGTGAACCCTCTGTCATCTGCACTGACGTTACCAAGTCTAACTAATATTAGCAAATGAGACATGAAACCTCTGTGGAGAAAAGCGATGAACAGGAGACAAAGAGAGAGATAATAGGGGGATACATAGAACAGTGTTGTTTCATTATTATGAAAAAAAAGCACATAAAGTTACTAAAATGTAGATGAACACTGAAAATAGAAAAATAACAGCACACTCAACAATAAAAAGGAAAGGAAAGCATGTGTGGGTGAGAGAAAGAGAGATACCATGCCAGAGAGAGTGTGTGTAGGCTTGCATTAAAGGGGTCATATGATGCGATTTCAAGTTTTCCTTTCTCTTTAGAGTGTTACAAGCTGATTGTGCATAGGGGGATAATGGCACGTATGGTCACCCTAGTGTGTGTGCGCGCATGTGTGTGTGTGTGTGTGTGTGAGAGAGAGAGAGAGAGCATCATATGACCCCTTTAATAAAAAGCAGGGTGAGAAGAGTTTGATCTTTTCTAGAAAGTTTAACGAGAGGCAGGGAT